CATTCAAGCTGATGTTTTCTCTGCATGTTCAGGATTCGTCATTTCCATTTAAAATCTTCTTTGCGACCATGTAAAACTGCTTTTAGCTGTGTGTTCAGCCCTTGTGTCTAACAGCCACCAGTCATGTTGCATTCACTGGTCTTGCACACTATACATCACAGTTCTGGGTTGTTTTTTTTTTCTTCTCATTGATTAGAAAGGTCCTGACTTTGATAGGAGTTCAGCACCTCCACAGAGAATAGGCTTGTGAATCAAAGAGATTGTCTGCTGAGGGTTAGTAGTCGAGCTTAAGTTTATCAGAAGAGGAAAATGGAATCCAGGTGCCCCCGACTGCAGATGGTGTGTGTTTCATTTACTCTGTTCTGCTCAGTTACTGGCTACTCACATGCATTGGAAAACATAATTTACAAAGGCCTTGCGTGCGTTAATAGTGTTTAGGAGATATTTAACAGAGCTCTGCCCTGCTGAATATTTCATAGTTGACAGTTTGGCATTCACCTGTCTGTGCTTTCTTGCGAGGAACTTCTTGACCTTTAAATAACCAGGAAAACGATGTCATTGCTGACATACTGTAGGGCGTATAGACTTGATCTCACTCCTTTTCGTTCTCCGTGTTGCTGCTTTTGTTTGCTTGCATAGGAATATCACCATCCGTGAATAAGAGAGTGCAGGCGGGGTGGAGTGGATGGAGACGAGTGTCAGGGATGATTTGTGACAGAAAAGCAGCAAGAGTGAAAGGGAAGGTTTACAAGATGGTAGCGAGATCTGTTGTGATGCATGGTTTGGAGACGGTGGCACTGAGAAAAAGACAGGAGGCTGAGCTAGAAGTGGCAGAGATGAAGATCAGAATGGACAAGGATTAGAAATGAGTATGTCAGAGAGGCAGCTCGGGCTCAGTAGTCCACAAGACCACAGAGGAGATTCATGGCCATGGTGAAGAAGGACATGCAGAGGGTTGGTGTAAAAGAGAAGGATGCTGGAGAAAGGTAGGACAGAAACACAGGAAAAGTGATTTTTCTGCTTTGAGCACGAATTAAATAAAAGGAAATCCCACATTTCCCAGAACACCTAAATTCTGTGCAGTGGTTCAGTAAGCACACCTAATCTGTCATTTGATAAATGGTTCCAAAATTATTAAGTGCAGCACCACTACTGCACGCTCACTCAGTGTTATTGGTCATCCCTCAGAGTCGTGGAGCCTTGCGTGTAAAAATGCGATTATTTTCCCCTCGGTTCTCTTGTTTTTATAACATCGTGTATAATGTTAATCCATTTCTTGCTGTCTTGCAACCTAAAATTTAATGTGTGCACTGATACAAAGCGTAGCTGGCTAAAGCCCCGCAACAGGGAGGGGTAGGTGCTGATCACACTTTGACTTCCTTGCAACATCTGACAAGTGAGTGGGTCTAAAAGCGAAATCAATTAAAGACAAGTCATGTGCAATAACAATTTCAGATGACCCTCACAGCAGGGTGTTAGGTTTTTTTTAGTGGATATTCACAGCAGAAACGATTCAGTTCACATAAATAATGATTAATTGAAATGTCAGTTGTAAAGGTTCAGCTTGATTCTGATTGGCTCTTTATGGTGTTGGATGCTGATCAACGTGAGCTCTCTCGGTTTACGTCAGATCTTGCAAATGCGTAATTGCGGGTTGCTCCGCAGTGTGTGAATGCAGCGTTGTGTGGGAGTCACAGCTGGCTGTTAAATAGCTGTCCATTTAAAGCATCACGTCTTCTGGCCGTTGTAATTTGTTCCCGTAGTCTACTTTCAGCACAATGGCAGCATTCGTCTCACTTATCTTCTCCTCGCACTCGGCTTCATCCTCAGAGACAGTCTCCTCTCCTTCCTCTCTTCTCCAGAGTGAGCCACAGCTCATCT